TATCCACTGCAATCATGGTTGTAGCACCTGAACGCCATTCCATCTTTGTTGCGGGTGTATGGCTTGCATACCATGTCAACAGAGCACGTTGGACATGCAACCACTCGCTTCAACACTCCTCTAACTCTGAGGAACTCCACGAGACCCGCAACAGGCCCATTCATAACAGGTTCCAGCACATTCTGGTAGTAGCTAAACATAAGGGTAAAAACCTACTAAATATAAAGGGTGGATTTTTACCTTAAAATTTCTAAGGTCCCTTTTTTTCCCCACGTGGGGAAAAAAAAGGACATGATCCCGCACTTCTTGAGAAGGAGAATTCGCTGCTTAGAAAGGAGTTGAATGCCATCAAGGCCAATTTCAGTAGCAAAGAGACACTCCAATACAAAATCAGGAAACTCACCAGAGACCTAACTGAATTAGAACGTAGTTTTAGAACAGTCAAAAATGGCTTCTACACCCTGACTGATCAATACTTCAATAATGACGCCCACTTCCTCAAAATGGATGCAAATCTGTCTAAAATATGCGACCTATTTGCCATGGCATTGGATTCCAGTTTCAAAGAGGTCCACGAGAGTCTTCCTAGAAAGTAGATCAGATATTGTTTACTTTGGACTGATGAGTGTGACAGCTGTTTTGTTTATGAACATGTTCATCACGGCCAGCTTCATTCTCTCATACGAATTGCGTACCATCTGCGTAAATTTGTAGAACTGGTTCCTGATGCTCCTGGGCCTGAACACGTTCTTTGTTTTGTAGAACAGCTTCCTGATTATGTTCGACTCACTCGTCTTCTGCTCATTCAGTAGCACCTCTGACTCGTTCTGAACACCCCCGTACATCGGGATCCTTTGTTTCTCAACATAAACAATGGCCATCCTCAATCATTTTCCCACTTTTTTATTCCACCTGTTTTGCTCTCCCCACAATCCTGTTTCAACCAATCAGCCTGTAATCATCAGCCTGGAAACAAACACCAAATATTTTGAAACAAAACAAACCACCCCAATGTCAAATAGACCCTCCTTCCGAAAGTACGCCGGAATAGTTGGTGAAACCATTGATAAGCTCGTTCTACACAATAACACCATTCTGGCTGCGACTATCTGCGTCATTATAACCAACTTCATTGGGGCATGGCTGACGATCAAGACGACTGAGCAGTTTGCCCGAATTTCCAAGACATTTCAGACGCCTGAGTTTGGCCACGTCCTGAAGGTCTTCCTTGGCCTCAGCATGCTCACCCTCAGCCTCAAGTACATCCCATACATGGCATACGACTACTTCATGCAGAATCTACAAAGGGAGTCGTACGTGATGAACCTGAGATCGGTGATGGAACTGAACTACGTCGACTTCCACTCCAAGACGCCTGGTGCTCTCCACTACGCCATCTTCATCAAGTCATTTGCGTGTCCGATGACGTGTCAGGTCACCCTCCTCGACTTCGCTGCCATCCTGGCCACCGTCCTCTTTGGCGCCTTCAAAGTGAACCGTGACATCGACTCGACCTACACGGTCTTCTTCGTCCTCACTCCCGTCCTCTACGGTGCTGGAATGTACTTCTACATCAGGCGCAAGATGGACTACCACTACAGTCTCCTAAGCAAGGAGCAGTACTCAGCCAACAAGCTGACTGACAAGTTGCTGAACTACAAGGCAATCAAGGCCTACAACCTCGAGGAGAGGGAGTCACGCGACTTCTACAACATCGTGGGGCAGCAGACCCAGGCAAACATAAAAATGGGCAAGTTCGAGGCACTCAGCAGGTACTTTCTCTCATTTGCATTCAATCTCCCATTTATTGCAATGATGTGCATCTTCCTGCTACGGAAGCCAGCAGACAAGGCAAACAGCTCCTTTCTGACTCTCCTCTTTCTGGAGCTGACTGGCCAACTTAGGCGACTTGGAAATGACGTCGATCTCCTGGTCGAGTACCTGAACCAGATCAACTTCTCATCGGTGGAGAAGAGCGATGCTCCAGCACAGACTGATACGCCACTTACGTTCGATAACTCGATAGTATTCGACAATGTCAGAATAATGTACAAGGAGAAGACTATCATAAGTGGAATCAACCTGGAAATAGGGCGGGGGCTAAAGGTTGGAATTGTGGGGAAGAATGGGACAGGGAAGTCGACGTTCATCAAGAGCATCCTGAACTTCTCAAAGTACACGGGTGACATCAAGATGGATGGGGTTGTTCTGAAGAGCGTGAAACAGGAGAACGTGATGAGGATGATTTCGTACGTGCCACAGGACGACTGCACCTCCGATGACACCGTCATGGGCAACCTGCTTCTTGGGCTCAACGAGGTGGACAAGGCCACTTTGACGAAGCAGGCGCAGATTGCGAAGGTGAAGCAGATTTCACGAGCATTCAACGCCCACGAGACGTTTCGGGGTCTCGAAAACGGCTACAACTCGGAAGTGGGGCCAAGGGGCCACAAGTTGTCAGGCGGGCAGAAGCAGAAGATTTCACTAGTTCGGGCTGTGCTGAAGGATGCGCCCATCTTCGTCTTTGACGAGGCCACGGCAGCAATGGACAAGAAGTACGAGAAGGAGACAATCACGAACATTCTGAGGAACCTCGAGGAGAAGACAATTCTGATGATAGTCCATGGCAAGGACTATTTGCACATGTTTGATAAACTGATATTCCTGAATGAGGGTGTCGTAGACGGGGTGGATTCGTACGAGAATCTGCTCCAGAACAACGAGAGATTCAGGAATCTGCTCAATTAACACAAGTTGCCCTATAAAGCTACTTTCTGACAAACCTGTTTGGGCTGTTGTTGCTAATGTCCGCGATTTTGTTTCTGAAGAGGCCCTTTACGTTGATTCCACTTTGGTTTCCAAAATGCCTTCTGATTTTGGTTGGGTCCTGCGTCTTGACAAACTCATTCAGGTTTCTGCTTCGTGCAAACTTGGCTGTCACCGCCTGCTTATCGAGCTCATTCTCATTCGCAAACTTCCTGATGGCCGTCTTAGGTTCGTAATTGAGTGCATCGGTGTCGATGCTATCGACATTCACAACACTCGCGTCAATCGACTTCTTGTACAAATCAATTGGCTTCATTTTGTCTATGTTCAATGATGGCTTACGAACAGCAGGCTGCTCCTTTCTGACAGGTTGCTGTTTCTCAACCAAATTTATCACGTTTTTATTGGCCTTGAAATATTGTGGGGCCTTGATTTGCTTCTTTTCTTGAAGCACCTGAATGTTTTCAATATTCTCTTTGATTTCTGGTGCAACTGGCTGCTTCTTGATTTCAACAACAGGCTGAACTACATCAGGCACCTTGTTTGTCTCCTTTAATCTCAACTTCTGCTGCTCTTTTATTGCAATGAAGCTCTTATGAACCACGTTCTTTGCTATTGTTTTCATTTCCTCTCTCATCCGCTCCTTCTTTTCGGTCTCATTCTGCTTAATCAGGTCACACAGCTTCCTGTTCTCCTCTTCAAGTCTCTCAAGTCGGTCCATCAGTCTCTCAAACCTCTCTTCATTTTCATAATATTTTATGCCATCATTCTCTTTAAGCTTCTTTGTTTTTATTGCATCAAATTCAAGTTTCCTCTTTTTGGCGTACAATTCGACATTACGTGGTATCCTGGCCCTGGTTGGGCGGATCATCTCGTTGTTTGTGACAAGCCGTTGCATCTCGGCCTGTGCGTAGCTGTCTGCGCTCTCCAGCAGATTTGGGTAACTCACTGTCCTATCAAATGCATCTCCAATGTTAGTGTTGTTCTCTATGTTGCTGGATGCCACAAATGTCTCGCTCTTGGTGGCGTATGGGGCGATGTACGTGTTGTACAGCTCGTTCAGCTTCTCTACGAAGTCATCCATGATTTCTTTTTTGTATTCTGCAAGCATTTCAGGGTTCAAAGAGCTGCAAAAATATCACGAGGGAAACAAACAAAATAGAGGTATGCATAAATGGATTGGTTCAGGATATGAATTGTCTTAGAATATGCACATTTTCTGCAGTTTGTAGACCTTTTCCAGTCCAATTCTGCTCTTGTAGAACTCCATGTACTCTTCTGCCTTCTCAGTATTAATTTCCCTGATGAAGATGTATGTGAGTAATGCTATCTCACTGGTACCATTCATGACGAATATCAGCTCAGTTGTGAGTGTTCTGACACTCGCATCGTATCCAAACTTCTCAAATGCATCTATTGCGAGATATATTGCAATTAGGGTGTGGTATGGATTCTCCTTGTACTTAAGCTTCTCAACAAGTACTGTATTATGCGTATAATCCCAATCCAAGACGTGACAAATTGCTCTAATGCACCATCCTCGTATTTCACAACTGTTGTTTATCCTTCCCTTATCGAAATTCAGTACGCTCTTTTCAGGTCCATCTTTCAATAACTCATCCAACAGATCGTACAAGTTCTCAGATGCCTTGAATACCCCAAAATTGGTCTTGATGCTGTTTAAATAGGCCATAACAGGCGTATTCTTGTACAACTCAGTTTCAATGTAATACTGATGCTGTAATATTGAGCATATTGAGCATATTGTCTTGTAAATGGTTTCCTCTCCTACTTTTGAGTTGAATACGTTGTTGTATAGTGCACTGATGATATACACCATTTTGCTCCTCTCTTTCAGGTACATTATGACATCCAAGGCTATCACCATCTTCTGTTTTGGTTCTATTTCGCAGTTTATGTAGAATATTGTTGAACATATTTCATTGAGTGTCAGTTTGTTGATATTCTGCATAATGTAATAAAGTATTCCATCCAAGTTGCTTACGATGTACATTCTCATTGGATTCTTGATTGTGTGTGTCTTTCTGTTTTCCAGCTTAAACTCGTAGGATGTTGCTGCGTATTCAATGAAACTTGCTATTGGACAACAGTCCTTAAAGTCAGTTCGCTTTGTCTTCTCCCTAAAACACTCAGTCAATTCCTTAGTGATATCCTGTATCCCCAACTCTTCGAATTGAGTTGGCTTCTTCTCTTCCTCCTCCACTGCCTTTGTTCCCTTTCGTTTTGCCTTGTTTTGAACTGGTGTCTTTGCTTCCTCATTCTTCGTGTTGCTGCTTGAATTTGTGCTCATTTTCTCTTCCTTGCTTTCCTCTTTCTTCAGTTTCTTTGATATCCCCGGTAAATCGACTATTTCATCCACGTGTGAATAAATTGGAGTAGTTCTAACTTGCTTACTGCCCTGCAACTGCTTAATCTGCTCTACCAGTGAATGAATCACCACATTCTGTGATGCAATGTGATCCTCTAACTCCCTCACTCTCTGACTGCTCGTCTCTGTCTCCCTGATTGCTCCTATTCCCAACTCTGTTTTTGTTATTTCTATTTTGCCTCCACTTTCAGTGGTTTTGTTCGATTTGCTTCTTGCCATCTATTTGGGATAATTTTAGGCTACAATTTTCTCACCTGATTTATTTACAATGATTCAGTCCACTTTGACCTTCTTAGTTTTAACTGGTTCCAGGTCAGGCTGATGCAAGAGCATTTTGTTCGATTTGACCTTAATTTTTCCACTCTTTTTTGATCTTCCCAAAACAATGAAGTGCTTGAAGTTGATTTTTGGTAGGGATAGTGCCACTTTGATTGATCCATATTTCTCGGCAATCAACTTCTTTGGAATCACCTTCGTCTTTACTCTCTTTCCCTTACTGTTTACGTAGTCTACGTGGAATATCAGTTTCTTCAGGTCTTTTCTCAGATTCATGCTCTTTATCTCAATACACAGCTGTACACATCCATTCTTAAGTGGCTTTGGTTTTCCTACAATTTGTATCTTAGTTCTTGATGAGCTATTGTTCTTTGATGAACTNTTTGGTAGGGATAGTGCCACTTTGATTGATCCATATTTCTCGGCAATCAACTTCTTTGGAATCACCTTCGTCTTTACTCTCTTTCCCTTACTGTTTACGTAGTCTACGTGGAATATCAGTTTCTTCAGGTCTTTTCTCAGATTCATGCTCTTTATCTCAATACACAGCTGTACACATCCATTCTTAAGTGGCTTTGGTTTTCCTACAATTTGTATCTTAGTTCTTGATGAGCTATTGTTCTTTGATGAACTGCTGCTGTGATTTGACTCTGATGATTTTGATGACTTTGAAGATTTTGAAGTGCAGCTGCTCTTAGATGTGCTGGTTGATTTGGATGTTTTGCTCGAACTGCTTGAGCTACTTGAACTCTTTGACTTGCATGGTTTACATGGCTTGCATGGATGTACTGGCCTATAACAAGGTCTCTTTACAATTGGTCGACGAATTGGACTATGCCTTCTTTTACGCCTGCATACTCCAGTATCACCAACTAATTTCACAAGATTCGTTAAACGAGATGGACATGGAAGTGGAATTGGCCTACATGGATTTGGTACACACGGTCGTGGAATTGGGTAGCACCTTCTTGGTGATGGCTCACACTCTCTTGCCCTACACATTGCACGATCAGTACCATACCGTCTTATTGAATCCATAATTCCATCGAATCCACTACAGAACACTGAACTGATTTGAATCAATAGAAACATGGTATTCTGTTTGTTCAATAATAAATAGTTAATATGAGATATTAAATCAGTGTAACAAAACAACAATAAAATGGCAATAATAAACAACAGTATTATTCAATATCAGTAGATACAATAGTATGTGTGGTGATCAATAAACAATAAATCAAGGTTATCATTTATTATTGACCATTACAGTGCCGCTAGTTGGATAACACCTGTAAATCATAGAACTTGTTTGTGTTGAATCACCTGATGTGTCTTTTGATACCAAACTAATGTCACATACGTAACTACAGGGCAACAGAAACTTTACCTTGAGACCCCACTGGAGTTCCTCAAGCAGAAACTTGTCTATTTTTACGAACTCAATCACACTCCCGTTAGACGCATCTTTTACCAAAAATCCAACTTCATATCCCTCACAATCACCCTCAAACTTCACTTTGATCATTGTTTTCAGCTTCTTATTGGTTATTTTTGGCATTTTCAGGAACTGAAGTTCAACTTTACACACATCCGTCTCTTCTCTTTCACCAGAAACATCAATTAGTCTCTCCAAATCTCCTTCATTATGTTTATCAGCCTTTCCTTCCCCTTTATCTGTTTTGTTTTTCAATTTATGATATTCATTTTTCCCAATTCCACTATATTTCTTGATTCTCACTCTAAGTGACCTATTTTCCTGATACTCGCATTCTCTACTTTCCATTGCTGTGAAAACAACTTCAATCAAAGTGATCAGAAGAATCATCAGGGCAAACAATAATCAAATAATACTTATTTGAGACCAATTTACCTTATACACGATATTAAAACTATATTAGCTTACTATTGATCATCCAAACAAATGCCTCTATTTGTTGTAGTATTTTCGTATTATGTCATATTTCTCCTTCTTAAACTGGTAGTACTTGTTCCTATTTTCCAGAATAAATTGCCTCAACTCCTCTGCTGTCATCCCATCCCGCTTTATTGCATACTTCTCAGACACAATCTGCAATGCCGTCTTCTTCTTCAACACACACCACCTGGTCAGAAATGGCCCCTTCTCAACGTTCTTCTCAAACTTCTTCAAAAATGTCAAATACTTCTCCCCCACTGTTCCACCTATCTTAAAGTATGCCCCATCATTCCATAGGTCACCACCAACCAGTCGCAATAACTCGAATAGTGTCTCATGTCCCTCCTTCGCCATCATATTCTTGATCTTCTCCCTGTTTATTTGTATTGATTTTATCATTTTATCAGTCCACGGATACCAGTTGTCTTGTACCATTCTGAATCTCTTATTCACGTGGTTGTTTGCGTCTCCCATCACGAAGTTCAAGCTGTCCTTCTTGTACACATTGAAGATGTCCAATGCCTCTGGTAGCGTATACGCTGCCCCATCTCCATCTGTGAGTATCCTCTCAGTCTGCTTCTTCTTGTTCTTTTTTTCATCCTCACCCATGGGCCAATTGGTGTCACTGACCCATTTAGTAAATCAACTACAAATAATAAGTTGATACGAGTAGTAGTAGTAAATAGAACTGAATAATTTACTACCAGAATCAACCTGATCAAATATCCTAACGAATCTCTCGAATAATTTGCAAATTTTTGCCCCGTGATGACACCGTGGAACGTGGAAGCCTGCCGGAAACAGAGCACGAGCGAGTCAGTCACAGACATCGACAACATCACTGAGACCGAGTCTGATGAATGCAGCACCACGGCAATATCAGAAACAATATCATCGCCAGAGGAGTCAGAGACTCGATACGCCAGAGAGCGAAACCGAGGCCAAGGAAGCGTCTACAGGGCCAACCCGTATTTCATGTCTCAGGCTGCCTTCTTCCAGCAGCCTGTCACCGAGCAGTTCTCATCCCGAAACAAGATCGTCTCCTTCATCGAGAAGGATCTCTTTCTGCTGGGCCACCACGAGACAGGGTGCTTCAGAAATGCAGCACATGCGGTGGAAGTGACCAGCCCATACCACATCTTCACCAGAATGGTGGATGACATCAAGTTTGAGGGATCTGACGTCACCGTGGACCTGGCTGAGGAGCTAGGCGCATTGCGGCAGAAGTTTGGGCAGTTTGTGCGACGAGTTGTGATAGAAAACGAGACACAGGGGACGTTCCTGGCGCAGCTGCTTCTGTTTCACGAGTCGCGCTACTTCATTGGTCGAATGGACCAGGAGAAGCGTAAGGCACTGAGTCAGCGGGCAACGAGCAAGAAGGCGAAGACTGGGCCAAAGCCAAAGGGAGCAAAGAAGTCGAGGACAGTGAGGAAGAAGAGGAGTGGGCGAGATAAGTTTATATTGGCAATAAAGAAGCCAAAGTACGCCTACTGCTATGGGAGTCCAAGGAGTATCCACTTCAACCTCAAGAAGCTGTGAATGTTGTATTTAGCCATTTATGTTGGAAGACAGATTTAGTTGCTCGTAATGTGCCATAGGCTGAGATGGAAGCAAATTAAATGTCATGGAGCAGTTTGTCACAATTTACTCTTCCAGAAAGTTCTCCCTGAACATCCTCTCGTATTTGGTTCCCTTGATGAGGTCGTAGGACTCAGAATAGTTCTGGTTCACGAAGTGGGCCATCAGAGACAGGTTCAGGGCACCGTCCTTTTTGGCCCTGTTTCCAACGTAGTCCAAGTGTGTTCTGGTTGAGAGGGAATCGGTGTAGAACAAGTTGCCCAGGTCTCCAGCACGGTAGAACGACTCACTTGCCTTCTCAAGGTGCTTCTGGTCTCCTGTTTTGTGGAACAGTTCGACGTGCTTCTCTCCCAGTTTGCTGTGTTTGGCTCGTGATCCAGCTATTTTAGACGCATCCTCCAATTGGCCCAGTTTTAGGAGAATCTCAAACTTCTGGGAGTCATTTGCTGTCAAATCCAGGGCACTCTCCAATCTGCCAATTGATTCGTAGAATGCAATTGCCCTGGGTCTGAATGAGTCAACAGGCGTAGATGGCTTTCTGCCTACGAGAACATCGAGTTGGAATTCGATGAATTTGCTGTCGATTGAGACGTGTTCAACCGTCTTGGTCTCATCACAGCAGATCAGCGTGTTGTTAAAGAGACCAAGAATCTCACATGACGCATTTTTGAGTTCGAAACTGATGAAATTGTCTTGGTCAATGAATCCGTATCTCAGCTCAGTTTCGGTGCTGAAGAAGAGCGTGTTTCCACTTGAATGGTAGCTGATGACACTCAGGTCAACCACATTCTTCCTGCTTCCTGAACAAACCAGCATTCGTTCATCCTCAAACAGACAAACAAATTTCTCACCAGTTGTATTATGCATAATGCACCCTTCTTCAGTTGAAGGAAGCTTCTCAACGGTGATTCCCTCTTTCAGAAGCAACGTGTTTTCAGCTGTTGCAACGAGCAAATAGCCGTCTTTCTCGTCCAAAATGCGCTCAACCCTTTCCAGGTTGAATGTCTGTTTCTCCTCGTAGCTGTTGCTGTACTCTTTGATGGTGTTGTCAACCACCACGTAGAACGAGTCATCTGCAAAGAGGACATCGCATGCTGAATCCACAACCAGCTTCTGTCTCAGTCCCAGACAGCTGTAGAATGCGATGCTGTCGTACGAAATGGCTGCAACCACTTTTCCATTTTTACTGGGCATGAAGTCAACTACGCCTTCGTCAAATGAGCCGAGATTCTTCTCTACGCCGTCTTCAACCCGCGTGGTGAAGAGCTCCCTGTTTCGCAATTCGAACACCTTCTCCCCTGCTGCTCGAACAGTGCGCTTTTCTGTGACTATTTTTGCAACCAGAATCTCCTCATCTGTTCCAGCCACAATGTGACTGTTGTGGATGCACAAATCCCACACCTTGAAATTAGAGGCCATCGTGGCCTCGACCTTGCACATTTCATCAAACACCTTCACTGATCCATCATTGCCACAGGTGGCAAATAATCCATCACCGATGTTTCTGACGCGATTGATCTGCCCGTTGTGCACCTTTGACATTGCCAATGCCGTGTTTCTGCTCCTGTCGTACATTGTGATGTATCCATCATCATTTGCCGTGATCAGACACTCCTTGTTCACGAAATCAAATGAATTCACCCCAGACAGGTTGCTGAATGCCTTGAATGAGATTGTTTTGCTGGTCCGTAGACTCGATAGTGCATTTTTGATTCCCTTTTTCGTGCTTGTTTTCAGGGAGGCTGATTTCTCAGGCCTGCAATAAAATGTCTCAATTCTCTTCGTGTTGAAAATGGAGTATTTTCTGACTTTTCCATCAAGTGATGCCGTATAAAAATGAGTTGGATCCACGCTGTCAAACCTGACTTCCATCACAAAGTGCTTTGAGTCCTTGTACATGTTCTTGAGCGTGTAGTTTCTCAGATCAAACAGCTTCACGCAGTTGTCATCAGATGCAGTCAGAAAGCAGTTTTGGTGCTCGTTGACTGCGACTGATCGAATGAAGTCACCGTGGGCCATGAACGAGTGCACCACGTTCAGGTTGGTGCTGTCCAAAATCACCACATTTCCATCATCAGTTCCAGCCAGTATTTGGTACTGCTTCAAGTTGAATGCAAGTGCTCGAATTGGGTTTTCTGAGATCTTCACCCGCTTCTTCAGGACCACTGTGCCATCCTCAATCGCCAGCTGCTCTATTTCACCAGAGAAGAGTGCTGATAGAATGTACGGGTAGTCTGGGTCAGCAAGAAGCGCCTTGACCTTGGTTGTTCGGTATCCGCTTGTTTGGTTTGTTTGAATTTGCATGGGTTAATAAACTTTGTAGGGAAGTGACCGTATTCTGGTTCACAAAAAGTAGATGCTGGGAGCAGATTATGGAAATTGCTCTTTTGGCTGTTTCTACTCCTTTATACTTGATTAGGATCATCATCCCAACCTGATGACCAATTACGAACAGTTAAACCTGTTTTCCAACTGTATCACTCTCATGAATAAGCTTGTTTTTGGAATAGACTTAGTCATTCATGCATTTGATTCAACTCAGACATCTCCTTCTCCACCCTATCAGCCAGCTGCTTCATCTTTTCCACCTCAAATGTCTTCTCCATCACACTCCTTATCTCCTGACACGTCTTACTCACCTTCTGCTGCCTCAGAATCTGCCTCTTCATCAACTCGACGTCCTTTGACTCCTGCTTCTCCTCAAATACGCCATTTATGTACTTGATTACCTCGTAAAACTCATTATACGTATTCAGAATGTCCAACTCACCCATTCTCTCCTTCCACTTCTCTATTCTCCTACTCAACTCGTCTTTTTCTGTCTCTTTGTTCATTTCACCCTTTCTATTCAAGAAATCAACCAGAATCCTTTATGATAAGAAAGTCATTCATAAATGTCAATGAAGACATCTTCGTGGGCGAGAACGACGATAGTCCACTATTCGACAGAGCTAATCCACTGGTAAACGCAGTAGCATGCCACAAAATACCCGACCTGACCATACTGGACCAGAAGAAGAATCTACTTGACCTGAATGTTGTAAGGGAGCATATGAAAAATGAGGGGCGTCTGAACAACCAGCAAGTAGTCAAATTGTACAATGACGCCCTCGATGTTTTGGCCAAGGAGAGCAACGTGCTGTGCATTACGAGACCAACACACGTCATAGGAGACACACACGGCCAATACTACGATCTCCTCAGCTTCATAGACAAGTTGCTCAAAAAGGCACTAGAACAGGACCACTGCATTCTGTTTGTGGGAGACTACGTCGATAGAGGCCTCTTTTCCTGTGAAATATTCCTCTTTCTGCTGCTTCTGAAGTCTCACTATCCAAATAACGTCTATTTGACTCGAGGAAACCACGAATCACATAAAATGACAACTTATTTCACGTTCTACGCCGAATGCATCCACAAATACAACGGAGAGGTCTACAGACTCTTTCTGGATCTGTTCAACGCATTGCCACTGGCTGCTGTGATTCAAAATGGTGCATTTTGCTGCCACGGTGGAATTGGACCAACCTTGACCAAAATATCAGCTATCAACAAAATCAACAGGTTTGTGGAAGTGCCCTACGATGGCACATTCTGCGACCTGCTCTGGGCTGATCCCCATCCAAACTACGATAAGCCAGGCACAGGCCAGTTTGAGCCAAATGACCAGCGTAGAACTTCCTACTATTATTCACATAAAGACGTAAGGAGATTTCTGGATTCAAATGGCCTAAAAGTCATCATCAGGGGCCACGAGGTGCAGGATGATGGATACAAGTTGTATGGGAATGCAACTGGGCAGCTTGAGGTTGTGACTGTCTTCAGTGCGCCCAACTACTGCGACGCCTACAAAAACATGGGTGCCATCGTATTCTACGACCAAGGCGTACAGGAAATCAGCCAATTCACAGCTGTCCGCCATCCGTACGTTCTGAGTGGATTCCAGGACGGAATAACCTGGTCATTTCCATTTTTGGCTGAAAAAGTGCTCCAATTCACTTTGGACCTGCTGAACCACGGATCGAGTCTGAAGAGCTGCTCCTCGACGCAGAGCTCAAACAACGAGGAGATCACGGACATCTTTGCCTCGATTATCGGTGATACGACTGATCTGCTGCAGAAGGAGGACGATTTGATGAAGAAGGTTGTTTTGATGAGGACTGAAAGGGAATGCATCGATGAGTTTGCTGATGAGGAGTCAGCCGTAGATTGTTGCAATTTGGAAGCAAAGGAGATGGACGACCTGAATTTTGGAGAGGCCAAGGACCAGGACAGGGTGAACGAGGAGGCTGTTTCCACGCCCAAGTTGCAGTCGCAGCAGCTGACACTGAATCTGTCGCCTTCTTTGGCAAATTCAGCAATCAATGGCGTAGTCAAAGGCAACGAAGATGTTGTGATAAAAAAGAGTGAAGGAATTGAGGAGATTGTGAACTACAAAATAGCAGATGATCAAAATGGACTAATTGATCAAAATAGGCAAAATGAATCAAATAAGCAAACCAGTACAATCAAACAGAACAAGAGGAAACGTAGCCCATGGTACTGTTTCTGGTGTGCGTATTGAACTGATGATCAGTTAGTTCTTAGGTGGCTTGAATGTCTTTGGTACGTTTCCCTTTGCCTTGTGGTATCTCAGAAGGCGGTGCAGTCGCGAGTTCACCAGATTCAGCCTGTATCTTGCATCAGTGTCCTTCTTGTGGACTGAGAGGTGGAGCCTGATCTGGGCTGCCTTCTCCATCAGCGCAGCCAGATCCTCTGGAAACGTGGCCTCTGCCCCGTGCTTCTTCAGAAACTGCAGCAACGAGCATCCAAGCACCATCTCAGCCGATCCAATTCCATGTGAATCCCTGAGTGTCTTCCCAATGTGAGACGGCTGAATTCCCCTCTTTGCGGCAGCCAGAACAATCTGCTCTATCTCGCCCACCGTCTTTCCCAGGTGTGTTGGAACTGTCACCGTGAATGGCCTCATTGATGCAGCCTGTCCCTTTCCAAATGAATGCATTCTTCCCATACGTGGGTAAAATTTGACAAAAATTCATAGGCGAATGAGACTGCCTGATTTGGCTGAAGAAGCAGAGTGACCAGAATGAGTCAAAATAGTCTTCTACCAAAATACGCCTAAATTCATAGGTGACATTTTTGTGACCCCGAATGTACGAAGAGCTCATTGCATTTCTGTTGGGGAAGAAAGAGGACTTCACTGACGAGGATTTGAACGAGTTTCTGAGGCTGCTTGCTGAGACACTTTCAGTGGCACCGGAGTACGAGATGTTTGAGAAGCAGGCGATTGTGGAGAGCATGATGGATCGAGTGGAGATCAAGGAGGACGCAGAGAGAGACGTGGTTGGGCGGAAGATGCACAACCTGTTTGACATCGAGCGGATGGACGAGAGGAAGAAGAGGCCTGCGAGAGCAGCAAAGAGGAACGGAGAGAGGCTGTTCAACCTGAGAAAGCCACTTTGTGAGAGACTAAGCAGCGATGGAAGCAACAGGGAAAGAGAGGCAGAAATAAGCAAGAGCATAAAGAAGGAATTGAGCAACAATGACGGGGCAAAGCGCACGAAGAGAGACGGATTGGCCAACGTGTTTGACGAGGAGTTTTCAGTGAGTGAGATGCAGAAGCAGAACAGGCAATACATGTTGAAGATAACAAGGGGCGGAATTCCACCAGAAGACGAGTTTCCGTTTGATTTGGGCACGTTGGAGGAGCACAGCGAGGACGGGCCCATCTTTCACTTTGATTTGGATGAGAAATAGCAGCAAATGTGGAATAAAGAAGTTTGAAATGTTGAGAGTAAGAAAATCAAAATTTATTGAATAGTAAAGAAATTCCCCTCAAATGGAAAAGTTTGAGAGACCAGAAAAGGCAGACTGTGATCAAGATGGAGGCAGTAAGAGTCGTAATGAAACTGTATTGCCAACGAAGGAGGAGTATGAGGCATCTGTGACCAAATGGGCTGATACACGGACTGGGTCTGTCTTCAGCATCATTAGGCCAGAAGCAAAGCGTGTTCTGTTGGCTGCCCTATTAAAGGGGATCATAGCCCTGCATTTTAATTTCTGTAGGGCCTACAAGGACAACGTGATCTACAACGTCCTGGGAAACGTGAATGCAGTTTACTGGCTGATTCTGTTTCTCTTTCTTGGGTCATATCTGCTGGTACAGTGGTTGAATAGGCTCTATGCCAAATATGGCGTAGATAAGGCCACTGAATACTTCGTGGTTGTCTCTGGCATAGTCTACACCGTGATGGCATTGCTTGTCTACGTGTTCTACGCCTTCTACTCCCCTGGCTACGTCCAGGAGCTCTCTCACTCTGGCACACTCGCAATCAGGCGACTTGGCTTCGTTGAGATCCTTCTTTCTCTGGTAGTGAACTTCGTGATGGTCTTCTACTACCTTCTGAACGATCTGCTATCAAATGCACTCGTAAACATGGTGTTTATGACGTATCTGACGTACAACACGAACACGTTCCAACTCACACGCTACTTCCGCCTCATTGGCGTTGCTAATGGCATTTCGTACCTGCTGGCTGCTCTCGTCCTGAAAGGAGTCATCTTCCTCCAGTCATGCGTATTCTGCCCTAGAAACGAGAAATGGCNGCTCTCTCACTCTGGCACACTCGCAATCAGGCGACTTGGCTTCGTTGAGATCCTTCTTTCTCTGGTAGTGAACTTCGTGATGGTCTTCTACTACCTTCTGAACGATCTGCTATCAAATGCACTCGTAAACATGGTGTTTATGACGTATCTGACGTACAACACGAACACGTTCCAACTCACACGCTACTTCCGCCTCATTGGCGTTGCTAATGGCATTTCGTACCTGCTGGCTGCTCTCGTCCTGAAAGGAGTCATCTTCCTCCAGTCATGCGTATTCTGCCCTAGAAACGAGAAATGGCTCTATATCTCCGTCTACCTGACCAATTCAGTCACAATGGCCCTGATAGTGGCAATTAAGCGTCTTTTGGATGCAGAATTCAGTCTACCTCTCTACCAGGACGATTCACGTGACAAGGGAAGAGTCAAGGCAAGGAGTGCCACTGCAATGGGCCTATGTGAAATGGCCTCACTCTGGTGGCAGTCCAAGTTGCTCTATTCGATCTCAATCTTCAACATCCTCTACAATATTGGATCCACCCTCTTTGGTACGCTAGAGAAGTACGTGTATCGAGCATACGCCCAATACGTGGAGACGAACTCAGAAGCCAGTCCATTTCAGGGGGCAGTAGCAANAATGGCCCTGATAGTGGCAATTAAGCGTCTTTTGGATGCAGAATTCAGTCTACCTCTCTACCAGGACGATTCACGTGACAAGGGAAGAGTCAAGGCAAGGAGTGCCACTGCAATGGGCCTATGTGAAATGGCCTCACTCTGGTGGCAGTCCAAGTTGCTCTATTCGATCTCAATCTTCAACATCCTCTACAATATTGGATCCACCCTCTTTGGTACGCTAGAGAAGTACGTGTATCGAGCATACGCCCAATACGTGGAGACGAACTCAGAAGCCAGTCCATTTCAGGGGGCAGTAGCAACCACTGGCACCATTTCAATGCATTTCAAGGCATTTGAACTCGCAGCCCAGTTCTACATCCTCACGTTTCTGATGCTCTCTCCAATCGTAAGTCGCCTCTACAGCAAATTTGGATTCGTCTTCTTCGGTGTCACCGTGGCCGCAATCTACACCTGGTGCGCCCTCTCTACTGCTTTCATGGCCGCCTACAACTACCCATTTACGAATGATGGAAAACAGGTGCTGTTTGGCCTTGGTTTTGGTAACAGACAGCCCAGCTTCTACACAGAGGCCATCTTTATTGCACTCAACAACTTCCTGATCAAATTATCAAAAAATGCATTTATTGATCTGGCCAGGGAATCAATGTATCTGTTAGTGAATCCAACAGACAGAATCATCTACAAGGGAATTGCTGATGGAGTGATACCAAGGGGAATCAAAATGATGAATGCATTCTATGGAATAACGTGTACGGTGCTAGGCGTACGAGATGTCAGGTATTTGGTGCCACTATCAATGATGGTGATGTTGGGGGTGGTATTGCTTACAATTAGACCCATGCTGTATATCAGGCGACTTGCCAGAATATCCAAGAAAACAGGCGAATATGTTGAATGATTAGGGCAATAAAGTAGTAGGGTATTTATTGGATATAAATCAGTCTTTACCGGTGATAAATCTGTGATTGAGTAGCTGTGTTGCGCTCCATCTCATTCTGTGATCAACAATCAGTGTCTTATTGAGGAAATCAACCAGAACATCTGGCACATCCTTATCAATCGCTATTGGTAGTGGCAACTTGCTGTTTATGGTTTTGGTCTTGTTGTACTGCGTACCAAAGTAGCCCTCTATCAACCTCTCAATGTGCAAGAAACTGGTCTTTCCTCCTCGTTGGAGCAGCAATCTGTAGATCAGAAGGAGCCCAAACTGCCAAATGTCCATTTTAGTCGATATAATTCCACTGATGGCGTATTCTGGTGGCACCTCGTAGATCTTCCCAGAACGTTTAGTCACCAACATTTCACCACCAGGCACCTTTCTTAGTTTACTGAATCCATAGAGTTTCCAGGTCTCTTTATCCTTAATTACACTATGGATCACAACATTACCATGGACTGCCCCCTTACTGTGAATGTATTCCAATCCACGTAATACTCCAGTAGACAGAATCCTAAGGTATTCAGTGAAATCAGTCGTATTAGCGTTGCTAGAATTACCAGTGTAGTCCATCAATGAATAGTTCACGTACAATCCAACAATTTTGGTATTAACTAATTCTGTATATCTCTTAGTAGTGATTTTGTGGATTTTGATCAAATTTGGATGATCAAAAGAACTCAGTAGCTCGTCTTTCTCGTCATTCTTTTCCTTCATATACTCCATTTTGATCACAATCGTCTTGTTTTTAAACAGGTAAATGTGTGACTTATTGTTGCGCATTCTCTCCAATTTGAACTTATCGAATAGTCTCGTTTCGATGTTATTTTTTTCACTTGCGAAGAAGTGGATGAATCGTACGACGGAATCAAATTGATCTATGTACGATTGGACGTGTTCCGGGCGTTTTGGTTGTTTTGGTGATTTTAACGATTTTTTTGATTTTATTTTCTTGGGTTCATCTGGTACTGATGTTTGGCTGATATCAGCGGGTGCAACTGGCTTCTTCTCCCCACGTGTTATCACCAGTACAGTCACCACCACTAGCACAGTAAGTGCTGCAAATAGACAGATCAGAAACAAAATGTATCTCTTGATTTTATCTGTGAGTTGCATTAAATGGGTGAAATCCAATAGTTGTTTTGTTGGGCAGATTAACGAGATTAAAGAGGGTGATGCAGGTGAATTGGCCTCTCTGCCACTGCCACGGAAGACAGCCACTCAATTCAGTTAATTTCAGCTGATCAAATACTTAAAAAATGTGCAAAATTTTACCCACGAATGGGTTATGGTAGAAGTGATCGTTACGGAGACCGAGGCGGATACGGATACGTTGAGCCAATGGGAAAACCAAATGCGCCAATCACCAACTTCGAGAAGAACTTCCTTCGTACGAACTCAGAGATGAGTCCGGAAGACGTTGAGAAGTTCAGAACAGCAAACGAAATGAAAATAACTGGAAACAACATCCCAGCGCCATCTGCGTCGTTTCGAGACTGTGGGTTCGATCGCGACGTGGTTGATTATTTTGAGAACCAGAAGCGGTATGAGAAGCCAACAAGCATTCAGGCCCAGGGGTGGCCAATGGCACTTTCTGGGCGAGACATGATTGGAATAGCGGCCACTGGGTCAGGAAAGACCCTCTCGTTCCTGCTTCCTGCGTTTACGCATGCAGCAGCTCAGCCAGCCCTGAGACCAAATGACGGTCCCATTGCGGTGGTGCTGGCACCAACGAGGGAGCTGGCTACGCAAATTGAGACGGTGGCGAACGAGCTGTGCCGCCTCGGATGCTTCAGAAACATCCGATCGCACTGCGTCTACGGCGGTGCCTCTGCCGGCCCGCAAAAGAAGGCACTTAGGGAAGGAGTTGAAATTCTTGTTGCTACACCTGGAAGACTCATCGACCTCCACAAACAGGGATTCTGCCCATTGGGTCGAACCACCTTCCTTGTTCTTGACGAGGCAGACAGAATGCTTGATATGGGATTTGAGCCACAGCTGAATGAGATAGTTCCACAAACTAATCCAGGAAGACAGACACTGATGTGGTCAGCAACGTGGCCAAAGGAGGTGAAGGAGCTTGCGTATCGATACACGAGCAGGGACGCCATTCAGGTCGTGATAGGAAGCGAGGAGCTGGAGGTGAACAAGAAGATCGTGCAGAACGTGGAGGTGGTTTCAGTCCACGACAAAATGAAGAAGCTGCTCTACATTTTGCAGGATTATAGGGCAGAAAGAGTGCTCATATTCTGCAACAGGAAGATGACGTGTGACAGGCTCGAAAGGGAGCTCAGAAGAGAGCGATTTGGGGCCACTGCCTTGCACGGTGACAAATCACAGGGCGCCAGGGATGCGATATTCGACAACTTCAAGCGAGGACGCGATCCAGTTCTCATTGCAACTGACGTGGCTGCAAGGGGACTGGACGTGAAGGAGATCAGGATGGTCGTGAACTACGATTTGCCCCACAACTTGGAGGACTACGTTCATAGGGTGGGACGTACTGCTCGTGGATCAGAGGAGAAGGGATACGCGTACACGATGTTCAGCCCAGAAGAGGACAGTACGCTGGCTCGTAAATTCATCGAAATTCTGAAGAAGAGCAACGTGGAGATACCGAGGGAGATGGAGGAGATTGCACAGAGAAGCGGTGGAAGCAGCAGGTCACGATACGACCGATACAGCCGTGGCAGAGGTGGATACTCTTCTGGCAGAACCAATTCACGAGATTACTACTGATGTTATCATTAAAACTAGTTCACTAGCAAATTCACTAGCAAAGGGTGGTTGATCAACTTTTGTAGACCACAATTGCACAGCCGTTGATGAATTGCATTCTGCAGCATTGGCGGTGTTGATTCAGGTCGTATGGGGCAGAATGAGACTGTTCCAGGCTGCCTAGGAATCTGAGGGCGAAGGAGTCCAAGTCCACGTCTGTTACGTCCCATAGGCAGCCTACGACCAATTTGTGCCTGTAAATTGTGAGAAGATGGCCGTTATTGGTGAATTCAACCAATTTGGTCAGATCGATGTCATCTAGAAATAAATTGTGTCCAATTTCTGATTGATTCCTATTGATCAGTGCATTGTAATAGGACTGTGTTTTGACTGATGAGCATCCAAAGAGATGCACAAATTGCAGTTCTGATTTGGTCCTGATTTTGTAGTATTTTCTACCAGTGCCATGGCCAAAGTACATGAATGTTTTGCTGCGATTCAGGTGATCGTTCTCATTTTCATCAAGGGCGCGGCCAACAACACCGCCTTCTATTTTGGTGCTGCTCAAATAGTTCTGGATGACTTGTCTGGTACGAGACAGGTTGTTCTGTGGATCAATCAGGTAGAAGGAATCTGATCTAAGATCACACTTGTCAAAGTGGACAGAAGCCAGGTCTCTGATATCAAGAATTCTGTAGATTTCCCTGATTGTGGTGGAACGGTAGAAGATGGACTCAAATGGTATTCTGGAGAGGACACCTTCAAGCATGAAGTAGCATTTGGTTGTATTGGATTTGAGGGAGAGTGAAGGGTGTTTGATTTTGGTAAGCAATTTCTGCAAGGCGGTGTTGATTTCATTCCTCTTTTTCCACCAGATTTCTTTGTCTTTGACTGTTTTGAGAATGTGTCTGTTTTGGGCAAAGATCTCGTTGAATTCGCCTAAGAAATTGTCAAATGCTGGATAGAGAAGAATCGTGGACATATCGTAGCAATTCAGCACAAAGAGGTCATTCTGGTACAGATAGAAGTAGAGCAGGTTGTAACGACCTGAGATGCTTTTGGAGACGTACGTCTCGTCTACTGTCGTGTACTTCTGCAAAATGTCATTTGGTGTGTTTCTGGTATAGCATAAATGCTTATGTAATTTCATTTTATGCTTATTAAGCTTAATTTGACTCATATTTATGCGTATTGTTATTTGGGAACATGGTGCTGGTTTAGCTGCAATTCTATCCAAAAATAGTGCAATTTCCCTGAAATAGAGGCCACCTGACTTGAATTCTATGATGTAGTGTTGTGCTTCCTTGTATTTCAAATTCATGAAGTAGACGTAACCTACTAATTCGTGTACAAATGCATCCAAACAACCTGACTTCTTGATTTCCATCAAACATGCTATTGCGTTGTATGTTTCACATTTCTCTATGAATGCCAATGCATTGTAGAATAAATTCAGCAACTTATTTGCAAATACCCTTGTACTGTAATCCTTTGAAACCAGCTTATTTTCATTGAGTTCCAATAAAATCAAACTCACCATTGTATTCTCTTCATACACTTCAAACTTATTCCATACCAATTCTTTTGCTTCCAGAACACTTGTTGTTATCTCTGCTGCTGTCAGGTTTCTCTTTAACTCCACTTTCTGAAAATAGTTTTTGAATTCTGTGCTTATCACTCGTTCCTTATCTTTCTGTTCTTTCAACCTATTATAGAGTCTCTTTAACTCATTTAGTACGTCCACCGCAATGTATCCATCCTCATTCTTTCTCAACACTCCTTTAGTATTCTTCTTCAGTATCTCTTTGTTCATGTGCGTAAATTCTAATAAATCCTCCTCTTTGATTATCTTTTGTTTGTATTTCAATACCTGCAATGCTGTCTCTACATTCTTATCAAACCTAGTGATGTATTTCACCAAATTATTACTGTATTTGATGTTTAGAATATTCAATATGTATTTGTCAAGCAGAATTGGATCCATTTCTCTTGATGCTTCAATAATCTGAATAATAAAATCCATTATGCTCTCATTATTCTTCTCAGACGTTAACTCACGCTTGAGTCCATTGAGTACAATTGCAATGTAGTTGTGTTTCTCACTCTTATTCCTGAATACTCTGCTCTGTTCATTCTTCAGCTTCGCTAAAATCCCTTCCTGAAATTCAGAATTTGAATAGCTTTTTGGCATTGCCTTGGGGTCAATAAACAGAACAATTTTACCAAGAAATTGATTTGATAATTTAGTGACTGTATGATGCTATTCATCCAATATCTTATCTCTATTTGCTTTAATATCATCATAAAATGAACTCTCTAACTCCTTACTCTTATAAAATAACTGATTGATGTCTCTGACCAAGTCATCCTTGTTCCTGTAGAGTCCATTACGAATTCTTGTGTTAATTCTCTCGTAATTGATGTAGTAGAATGGTGTATTGAACTCCACTTCCTTTTCAACCAGATATTTTGACAAATCAAGGTTCTTGTTTCCGCAATAAATTTCTGACTGGGTGAACCACTCGTCACAAACCTGAATCCTACATCCATCTATTCTGTCTATCATTCCTCTGATCTCTGTTCCTGCAATTGTGACTATCTCGTACTCCTTGTAGTTCTCATGTTGTCGTTTCAGACATGCAATTCCATAGAGCCCATTTTCGTAGAATGAGATGTTTTTGAATGTTTTCCCATTTTTATGCAATGTAAGCTTAATGTATTTTATATGTGGCACATCTTCACCTGGTGCACTTTCTTCATTCTGATAGTACAATTTGGCTACTTCTATCTCTTCTATGGTATAATAGCCCGTCTTAATATCAGTCTTCGTCTTTATCCTCTTTTCATCCAGTGCAAATTGTTTTAGTCTTTTGTTATCCAGGTAGATTTCATCCTTCTTGTTGAACTGCAAGTTGTCAAACCATCTTTCAATGTGCTCAACTCTCTCTAACTTCTCAGCCTGTATCTCAGTCTCTTCCGTATTGCTCGTTGACCTAACTTTCTCAATCAGTTTCCTACTTTTCTTGAATGGTGCCTTGTCTATCAGAGATGCTAGTGTATCCTTCTCCTTCTTCTTATAGATATCAGCCGTCTCTACTGCTTCCTTCCTGTTCTCATCAATCAGAATCCTCTTTGCTGATTCTTCTGCATTTTGTTCCATCTGTTCCAGGTCTCCAAAATTTTTCAAATTCGCCAAGGCGTCTTCTTCGATCAACTGCCTTCTGGTCATCACCCTGTGATTCATCCCACCAATGACGTCATTCTCCAGAATTCTTCTGGCATCTCTTCTTAGAACTGGTTTAGATGGAATCTCTTCACAACTGGATGATTCTATGAAATTACGTCCACCAATGGTCGTCTGTTTGAGTACTTCCTGTACACTCGTCTCCTTAAATTCACTTGTTTCACTACTGATATCCTTTTCACTCTGATCTGATCTTTCAAACTTGATCTTATACGCACTCATGTGTTTAGCTGCCCTATTTTCTGTAATCCACGCCATATTGATCTCCTTTTGAGTCTCTTCATACGCTGTACTGTACCACCAACTATTCTTTCTATTCGTGTCGACTGTTTCTGAATAAATCAACCTATTTATCATTACATCAATATTGCCATCATATTCCAACTCACCAATCCCATCCATCTTCATTATTTCGTAGACTTCGTCTCTCACATCTTCATTTTTCATTCTCTTTCTCACCAATTCGTGCACAACTGCACTGTTATTGGAATTGCACAGCAGATCTTGCCTGAAAAACTGAACTGTGTTTGTGCTTCTTCCTGTGAAATTCAATTTGTATGATGTTATTGCACCAGTATCATCACTTGCTATAAAATACTGGCCATTATTTGAGAATACACAGTCATTAACTGATATTGTTAGTCGAATTGTATGGATTTTGACTATTTTGTATCTCTGCCTGTGATTTATGACCTGGTAGAAAGTCAGATCATTTTCTGTTTCAATCACAAAAATATCTTCTGATGGGTGCGTGTAAATTGATCCAAGACCAATTCCATCAGCCAAACAAAGCAACATATCGTCCTCGTAGATCCTGACTATTTTGTCACTTCCTAGAATAACCAATAGGCCATTTGCTAGAAATGATATTCTGAAGACGTACATTTGGTTAGTGTTGTTGAATTCAGTGGCTTCAATAGTGTACTTTCTGATTTTCTTGTTCAAATATTGATAGATTGATACTATACTGTTGTGAGATGTAGCCACCTTGAAGACGTTCTTTGCTGCTGCAATATTCTCAATATAAAGAATTGAATTATTCTCTATCCTGAAGTCTTCTAATAAAATCATGCTTTCTGGATCATAGACATCGTATAAGGCAAGATAAGGCCATCTTCCTCCACAGAAGAGGTATCTGCCACCATCAGTAATGCAGATGGCCTTTATTCCGTGTCCAGTCAGTGCTGTATTTCTGTAGATCTCCTCGTCTTTGAAAATGTCCAAATAAACCAAATTGCCACCAGCAGTCAATGCTATCATTTCATGAGGCTTTTCTTTTGTTTCGTATCTGCTGTCTACTTTCGCAACTAGATCAATTGACGTGGTCTCAGAATACGCAAATCCCTTCACAAACTCACAGAAGAGTATTTCGTCACCCAGATCAAACTTGTTGATCAGTTTGAAGCAGTCTTTTTCATTATACTTGTAATACTCATGAACTAGTACTGTGCCATTCACATCGGCTGATGCGATGTATTTCCCGCTCGAATGGATGCAAATATCAATCACATGACACGTGTGGCCGTACAATGTGACAATCAGGAGCTGTTTGTCAATGTCAAATATTTTTATTAGCCCATCCATTCCACCTGAAATTATGAATGTTTTGTTGAACGAGTGATTTGGTACAACACGCTCAACTGGACCATTGTGTGCCTTTATTGTACCGTATAAATTGTAGTTCTTTGATGTTTCCTCTCTTTTGCTATGCTTCTTCATAGCAGCCCTAAATTGCCTTGGGGTGATTCTTTTGGAAGCCAATCGGCTGATCAGCAGTTTTTGGAGGTGCTTTCTCATTTTCATCGGGGCTAAAAGTTTGTTTGCTTTTTTACGCTTATTCTTCAACCTACTTAAACTGCTTCTTCAAAATGTACGTATTTTTGTAGTCCTTCTTGTCCAATACGGCTATTTCACCAATAATCTCCTGGATGTACGCAACAGGTTGTCCAGTGAAGTCAGCCAGGTCTTTGACTGTCCATGCCCCGTGCTTTTCAAATGCTTTGAACAACACGTCAATTGCGTCAGACTTGTCGAGTCGCTCTCTCTTTTTCTCCTGTAGCTGCCTCTTCTTCTTTCTTGCATGCGCTTCCATCTCCTTAAGACCCGTGTATTTCTCACCACGTTTAAGTTGTTCAAAATGGTTTATCATACGTGTACTGTGTGTACTGGTCTGTTGTAGAGCCCTCTTGAACTGAAAGTACTCATCATTCATTTCTGGTTGTACTGTCATCATTCTGCTTAGTTCATAGAGTGGGATTCGATTTCCTTCTAAGGAAACTGCCTGTTTGTCTTTTTTACCCATACTTCTTTGCATAAACTTGTATTGACTTGGCTTGAATCTTCTATTGAATCTTATTTCTGCTTCTGTGTCAGATGTGGTCATATCCAGCTTCACATGACCAATTGTCTCATTCTCTAGACATTCCTTTATTTGGTTGCTGAGATACTTTGGCATTTTGACTAGAAATGCTCTGGTTGAATTTCTATTGATTTCCTTAGGCATAAACTGGGGTTCAATNAAGGAAACTGCCTGTTTGTCTTTTTTACCCATACTTCTTTGCATAAACTTGTATTGACTTGGCTTGAATCTTCTATTGAATCTTATTTCTGCTTCTGTGTCAGATGTGGTCATATCCAGCTTCACATGACCAATTGTCTCATTCTCTAGACATTCCTTTATTTGGTTGCTGAGATACTTTGGCATTTTGACTAGAAATGCTCTGGTTGAATTTCTATTGATTTCCTTAGGCATAAACTGGGGTTCAATACTGGAATTCTGATATTTTCAGGTACTCTGTCTGATTGAATAGCAGTAACTGTTTAATCAATATTGATCAGTAGCTGTATATAAATTATTTTCTTGTGATGCCTTATTCATGAACACAGAATTCAAAGATGTTAAAAAATCAATCAAAAAAGAATTGTCATCCAAGGCGCAGATTGTCAAGCTGTTTGCCAGGCCAAACAAAACAAGTGGCCTGTCAATTGGCCTAGTTGGCCTGCCCAATGTTGGAAAGAGCACCTTGTTTAATGCATTGACCAATTCGGCTGTACGAGCTGAAAATTTTGCATTTTGCACCAAAGATCCTCACCACGGCATTCTCAAGATTGAAGATGAACGCATTGAGTTCCTTAGCAGCACATACAAGCCAAAGAAGATCTGTAATGCCACTCTTACGATCGTAGACATCGCTGGACTGGTCAAAGGTTCTTCAGAAGGCATTGGCCTTGGAAATCAGTTTCTAGAACACATAAGAAGAGTAGACGGCATTTTTCTGGTCGTACGTTGCTTCACTGACTCAGAAATAACTCATATTGACGGCAATATTGATCCAATTCGAGATATCAACACGATCAA